GCTGTTAAAAATCTCCAGTCTGACTTACTTCTTGTGAACCCACTTGATGTGGAGACTTGAAATGACCATTTTATTCATTACCCTCATGCCATGACAGCACAAATTGAGCTGAGCTGGGACAGCAGCAGTGTTGCATGGAAATCAGGATTCTCTAGGGGGAAAAAAAGAGTGGTCAATTTTGGTTTCATCTTTCTATCATAATCTGTGAAGACAGAGAAGATATCTTTATGATTGAAATCTAATTTTCCCCTCTAAAAGTAATGTCATGCATTTCATCCAGCAAGAAAAACCATACGCCTGTTAACAGATCCTGTAAATCTTGTTTCAAAGGAAAAATTCATCTTGATGCTTAAGTAATTGCCCCAACACAGCTCCACTAAAAGGCCATCACCAAACAGTCCACCAGCAATCTCTCAAATAAAAAAAAAATAAATAAAACTTTTTGCATCAGTGCTTTGCCATTCAGTTTCTGCTTTTGTCTGTATTGTTTTTCTTCTCATTGTTACACCTACAGTCATTGGGATAAATCTGCAGCAGCTCTAGCATGAAGCCATAGCTAATAAAGCAATTACAGTTACAAAGGGCATCAGGATTCCCCCTAAACCTTTGCCTTTCAGGACTGCTCCAGAATTCAGTTGCTGGCAGAACATATTCCTGTATTGATTCCCAAACAAGAAAAAGGACTCGTTGCTATGGTGTTGCAAGAGGAAGGACAAATACAATTATCATATATCAGCCTGAAGAAATATGACCTAAAGTTCTCTTAGACCACAGTGTTTCAACAGAGCAGATCTTCCCTGCTGCCTGTAGGAAATGCAGCAGAACAGCAACAACAAAGAAGCACCTGAATAGACGAAATTACACCTGTTCTCTTATTCCTCCAATTTCTAAATGCAGTTAATTTAAGCACCTTTATATCTTAGTGTAAGATATTGAAATTCTGAGTAATTAAAATGTGCCTTCAGTCACTTATTCCCTGTCTGCAGGGAGAGATAAACATATTTTGATTCTGCTTTCCTGGACGTACAGTGAACCATCCTCCAGACTTGGTAGCTGCTCACAAGGGTGCTGGTGCCCAGACCCCACAGCAGAAATCCCAAACTGATTATCAGTAATCCCAGCTAAAATGCACAGAGGACAACGGAAACTTCTGGAGAAGAGGAACAGAACATAAAAAGCACAAGATAAAACACTGAGCATGGAAAGGTGCATTCTGGCTTCTTACAGTAGAAATACTTGTTTTTTTCAAAAATGGTGTCAACCAAAAAGGGAATTGATGCCAGGCAGGTATATACTTCCTGCTTTATTAACTCAGAAAGAATTTTTTTTTGGTACATTAAAAACTGAGCTGTAAAGTATTAATTCAATATTTAACTATGAAACTTCATGGAATTGGTAGAAAAAATTGAAATAGCCAAGAAAATAGGGAAAAGACAATTGTCTCAGTTTACTTGATTTAGAACCATTTCCTATTTCTCCCAGAAGAAATTCATGATTCCAGTAATTTAATTTATTAGGGCAACACCTCTATTTTGTAGAGACTTTTCCAGAAAACCATAGGAAAAACTCACCTTAAAAAAAATTTTACATTTCTGTTGTAATAACAACCCATAGTCTGAATCTACAATGAGTTTATTAATTATACATTGTTCTCAATGCATAATTATGTAAAGTGCAACAAATTTGGTCTGATTTAGTTTTCCCTTATGTAGCAAGAGTACATCCATATTTAATAAGACCATTGTAGCAAAAGTGGAAGTCTAAACACCCTGCACTGTCCACAGTTATGAAGTCAGTAAATTAGATCTTCAGTGTGGGCCTTTTGAGACAAATGTAACAATTAAAAACTGCATCCAAAAATTACTCTTTTTAGTGGGGGAATAAAAATACTAAACATCACACTGCAACAGTTTTGCCACAAAGCCAGTGATATGTTCAAATTCACATCAATGATATTTATTATATATAAGCTTTCAGATAAAATGCTAAAAACATAATATTGTTTCAGTCTGCCTGCAATAGGCCATGCATTTTTTAAAGTATTCTACCCAATGTTTCCAAGCTTTCTTCCTAATGGCATTTCAGCTCCCTTCTCCCTGGCATTTTAAACCACATCCAAATTCCTCCAAAACCTCTTTATTTAGACTCTCAGTTTGTCAGTTCTATAGCTTTAGTCACTGTTTTAAACAGAAAATCTTGAAAACAGGAGAACACGTCAGTCTCCAGACAGCACAAAAAGGGCTGGTGCAGGTTGCTAATAAAGTCAAGATTGTTACCAGAGACTTGCAAAGCACTTTTTCTTAGCCATTCACATTCTCACAGGAGAAAATTAACACAAAGCTTCTGGTCCATCTCTTGTGATGGGCAAGGGGGGAAGAAACACGTGCAAACACTCAAAATTCTCAGCCAAGTTCATGACAAGCTGCATGGCTGAGGTACAATCAATGGAGAGGCAGAAGTACAGACCAGAGAAGAGCAGCACTGATGAACCAGGTTAATCTGTGATGCCCTGAAGGAGACCAACCCAGGGATTACAGGGGAACAGTTCCATAGGAAGGAAGCACAGCAAGATGTTTGTATAGGACACACATGCCAGGAAGTCACATCACAGAAGTGCCAGAAGGTTGCAACAAGCTTAGATCTGAGGCAATGGGAAAAGAGAGAACTGCAACATGACCAAAATAAAGGACAAAACACTGCAATAAAATTCCAAACTAAGACTTTTTTTCCTCTCTGAACATTCAAATTAAAAAAAGCCTTATATTTCTGTCTCCAATACTTCCCCCTGCAGATTGTGAGAAGAGTTCCTTACCCACATTAGTGTTGTCAGGGTTTCCTTTGGAGCAGTCTTATATCTCACATGTCAAAAAAAGTGTTAAAAGAAACTTATTTGAAAAACAAACAAAAAAACACCACAGGGAGACAATAACAAGGTACACCTCCTGCCAAAGCAGATGGCAACACACACTGTCAGGGAGTTTGAAAAACTTTCAGTTCTAGCACCAGAACCTTGACTGAATCTTTCTAAGGACATTAATAGGGATGCTTTCAGAAGCAGAAAACTTCCACAGTAGCAGAAGACTTCTGCAGTTCATCCTCCAGAAGGAAGTCAAAATCCTGAAATACTCCATTCAGTCTAATATAGCCCCATCTTTACCAGCATCTCAGACATCAGTTTTAAGAAAGTTCACAGCACTTTGTATCATTTTCCATGATATCCAGTTTCCACAGATATCCATTTTGAAAAAACCCCAGAAGAGAAGCAGAACAGAGAAGGACTTTGATGACTAATTTCCAGCAGGTTCACTGATGTCCAGCTCACTGAGCAACAACTGGAGCAGTCTAAGCTCCCACATACATTATCCCTGTAAGATTTCACTTTTTCTGGATGCCTTCCATCTTCTCTACATCGATATCTTCATGAAAGCAAGTCTAGCAATAACAGACTGACAAAAATGTAAATCTGTGCATTTGATTAAAGTCAGCCCGAGTATATCAAAACAACCCCAAAAATAACTCGGTCCACTTCTGGTAAATGTTGCTTTGAAGCCATATTCCATCCATGCTTTTCTCTGCCATTTCCCAAGCTAAAAGTTTATTCCACTACTGCAGGAAAAGTAAAATCCTCTGTAGATTTTCTTCCCGTAAGATATTTCTCATTTTAAGCACAGCTGAGTGCATGAAATTTGGCACGTGAAATATCAGAGTGCAAAATAGTCTTCAAGGCCCTCAACATAAAAATCAAATCTAATATTTATAGCTAAAAAGAAAAAATAGCTGGAGATGATGCATAAGGAAAACTCAGAAGAAACCTGGAAGCATCTAAAATATTAAATTAAAACCATTTATCTGAAGCAGAAGATAAGTTGAAGGAGTTTACAAAAGAAAGGAAAGCCGACAGTGATGAATGTAGCAATTTGGAAACTGAGAAAGAAAGAAAAGCATGAGGAGAAGGTATGGAGGAGGAGAGCAGGGAGGACTAATAAAATAAGAGACTTCAGAGAAAGGAGAGGAAACTCTGGGTAGCCCTGTATGCATCAAATTTTTTTCCAGGGCAGTAAAAAGGAAATGGGCAACCTCATCCCTCCTCTGACTTCAGTGATCTCACTAGAGTTAAAAGGATAAAACAGGCTGCAAAACATTAAGCTGAAGTCTCTGCAGTAAAACCCTCTCAACTCATTGCACAAAGAGCTCGTCTCCTCTCATGGAATTTTCAGTTCCATTATCCAAGGGTGTTTGCCATATTTACAGCTTTGACACTGAGGAAGGCAACAATCTGGATTGTTTAGGAAAGTCAGGTTCTTCCATGGACCTCTGGGGTGCAGTGAAGTTGGAGGTATCTTTCCTCTGCTCTCTCCTACTGCAGGATTTGACTACAGTATGTGAGATGTTTGGGTCTTTGTACTAAACAATCTCATTATTTTAATAGACATGGGAGCCATTTAATGATCTGCTTGCAGTGGCTCAGGAGACATTTAAGAAGAACAGATATTTCTGTGAAATTCTCTCAATTCAACATCTGTTCTATAGCTGCCTGTGACTGCAGCAGACTGGATTCAACAGCCCATGTGTTCCCTGGTTATCCTGTGGTTTCAATCATTTTATTTTCTGCTGCAGGGTAGCAAGATACAAAAAGTTAAATCCTGAGAGGGCAAAAACCCAAGATGCTCAAAGCAAACGTTGAAGAATTTCTTCATAGCCCAAGGTTCATTATCACTGCAGGAAGCTTCACAAAATCAGAAATTAATTGCTTAACAATGGTAATCACTGATAGAACAGATGTTAATGTCATTACCATATTAAGAAACTGGTTAGGTAGTTTAACAACCCTGAAGCCATAGGAACATTACTCCACAAAAGTAATTTTAATTCAGCTAAAATGTTCTTGAGCACTTGTGTAGTACCTTTGGATTGCTGACAGCTATGTCCAGCCTACAGCCCATCTAATCAATACACATTTTCCTGCTGATCTACAGATAAGTTAGCTATTTATCCCAGGATTCCTTAGCAAACGGCAAAAGCAGGGTACTGTTGGAAGCATTTAACTTTGCAGGAATCTGAAGGACAAAGTGCTTTGTAAATTATTCAAGTTTCCAGAGCTACAGTAGATATGCAGGGCCTCAGTCCAGCTCACAGGGATTTCTGCAGTCTTGTGCTTTCCTTGGAGTAGTGCAGAAACACATTCTGACCCTTTGAGCATACCTAAAACCAGAAGTAAGAGGGTGTAACGAGTCATCACCAATCAGCACATGAACTTTTCCATAGTGCCTCCTGTGAACACATCTTCTAGTGCTCAGTAGGATGTAGAGAAACACCTCAAGAATCTTACAGGCAGTAAGAACTATCGGCTATTGTTAAACATCTATTAAATTCTATAGTGTTTTCCTGTAAGGGATATACACTGTTTTGAGCTGAGTGGCTTGAATTGCATTTCATCAGTCAGCCTGAGGCCAGGGGAGTGCAGGAGTGATCTGTCCATTATGTATCTTGAAGTCATTATAACAACCATTACCAATTTCGGAGGCAGTTTTATTTAATGGCATCCATCACCGCCCTGCACCCCTCCGTGGGCACTGCCTGAGCACAGCCCTCTCCCAGGCAGGATAACCGAGCCAGAATTCAAAGGGCAGTGCTAACACGTGCCCTGCAGCAGCGATTAGCACCAGAAAGGTCAAGGTTTAAAATTAGGTTTTGCTGTTTCACTTCATAGGAGCAATTTTGGACTAATAGCTGTCCCATCTCTTATTAGCTCTGAGTAGTAAGTCATACTACAAAAGCCCTGCAAGGCATGCCTGACAATGATTTCATTTTTTTTTACTACTAGCACCTTCAGGCATTCTCCTTGAGCTGGCACAGGAATATTATTTACATTGTGGTTAGGAAGTAGACAGGCACTGCATTTTGATTTTCATGTACTGTATTTCTAGGATTCAGAATCTGCACTCAGCCAAGTGGCTGAATACCCCTGAGACTCATTACTAAATACAGAGTGATCTAGACAAATGTTACTGTTCTAATCATTTGTACTTCTCAAAGGCATCAGCCATGCAGCAGCAGATCAACAATTTCAAGGTAGATGTAAAAGACTCTTTTTATGCTTATCAATTTGCATATTGGAAACAGTAATACTCTTCTTTGCAGTTAACAAATGAGCTGCTCAATTTACTGCTGATGTTTTTACAACTTGGCATTTGCAACTCACTGCATTCAAATCAAAATGTAAAGGATGGCCTCATGACGTTCAGCAGAGAGGTTTCCAGCACTATATATATCAGCAGTAATACCTTCCCACCCTAAATAACCACTGTCACTTGCAACAGTAGGCTAGATTCTGACTTCATCCAGATGCGTAGGAGTTCATGCAGGAGCTCCTGATTATGCCTGGATTTTTCACTTCAAGCAGAGAATGTGTGCACCTCCATATCATCAGATAGTGGCAGTCCTTGTAATTATCTTGTCTCCTTCGATTTTTCTTAGGCTTTCCAAAGATTATTCTCCCTCTCAGAAATTATTATACCCAGGAAAATGACATTCATTAAATACAGTGAGGCAATGCTAATATCAAGGACAAGGAAGGAAAAGGGGTTGAGCTTTTATCCTTTTCATTCAAGAAAGCTGAATGAAATTATTTTTATTGTAATCCTGGAATGGGAAGAGATCAGTCTCAAGTTTTAAATTCTATAAATCTCCAAAGCACTATTTTTTCCACACACTTTTCAAGTTTATCTTTAAGATTTTAAATTTCTTCACTGAATGAAAATTTATCTGTCTTCCAGAAAACACTATTCCTGGGCTAAACAAGTACCTATGTAATACCCACTCAGTGCATTCAAATATCTAGCAAGATAATTCCTACTTCTCCCCTTTGCCATTTGCATTTAAATAGCCTGGCATTTCACTGGGGAGAAAAATTTGTTTAAAAGGGTATAACCTGTATTAGTTATACTTTTGTGAACAGAAAATTAGAATTACTAAAATAACGATACAAAAGCTCTTAAGAAGCCAAGAGACACCACCAACAAAAGCCAAAGCTGAGCTAACTCAAAGTTCTTTGACTCCCTAAGATCTATTCAATATTATCTGCAACTTTGGAAGGGATGTTATTCCTCTGTAAGTCCAATAGCTGCATTAAACTGATAACACATGTCTATATATCTTAGGGAAAAGTAATAAACCCTGCTGTGAAACACTATTTCCGTAGTATCTTGGAGGAAAGATAACTTTTTACACAAACTCATTTTTCATTACCACAGCATTGTCTTCTCTCTCCAACAGGATATAAGATGATTCCACAGACAACCTCAAAAATGAGTGTTTATCCAAGCTCACCCTTTACACAAAAGCTGCCCATCTCAAGAAATTAATAAAAGCAGAAATGCATTATATTCTTCCAGAAAGTGAAAGACAACACTGAGATTAGCAGAGCTAAACTATTTCAAGTTCTTTTCAAGGCAGAGACATCACCTCCCATGAGTTACAAGGACAGTTTAGTTGAGAAACACCATTTTTACAATTAGTCACTTTTATTCCTTTATTGTAGCAAAATAAGTAATTTGAAACATTAACTACATCATAAGATCTTAGGAATAGTGATTTTCCAACTTTTCCTAAACCAGTTGTCTTTGCACTCTCATTCAGACACAACTTTCTTACTGTGTTTTCTCCACCTTCTCTAGGCATTTAAAGAAAGCTTTGTATGTGGGTTGTCATGGTGTAAAGACAAAGGCAAAGCTTCCACACTGCAGGGAACTCCTCAGTGCAGACGAGACCCTCCAGCCCTCTTCATGCTGTGAGCGTTACTGAAGTCCACAAGGACAACTGCTTACTGTATTTCTACAATTTCCTTCTAATTTAATATCCCATTTAAGATGTTTTTGAAATATTAACACTACTATAATGAGATAATGTTATTATAATCCTGCTGAAACAGAACAAGTCAGTTTATTGCTGTCAGCAGTGTAATTGCAGAGGTATTGCCACTCTTTGACCGCTGGGATGGGAGGGAAACAGAGGTGCCCAGCTCCACAGCCCATCCACAGCTCTGCTCTAGCACAGGGAGAGACACGCCAGACTTGGTTTGGGCTCCAATAGAAGCAACAAATAAGGTCTCCTCTCTAGCCCAGCAATAATCATCCTCTGCTCAGCACTTGGAGTCCCACCAAAAGCAGAGTCTGCAGCACAGCCTGCACACGGGGCATTGCTCCAGACCTTCCTGCAGCAGAGTGGGCTCCAGCACCACACACCTGCATGCTCCGAGCTAAACATTCCTTTCTCCAACATCAGCTGCTCCCTGTCCACCCTCAGCAGTGCTGATGTGACTCCAGCACTGGCCAGCCAGCAGGTATTCTACTGATCATAACTAACTACAACTTTAGGACTCATTTTCAGCACAGTCATATAGACTCAGACCCTAATTTAGTAAAACAATTCTGAGTCGTAAAACAAACAGCTCCTGCCATGGGTTACTCACAGTCTGAGCTGTAAGAACAAGCTTAAGGGCAGCTCAACACACTGCTGAGCTTAAGTTACTCATTATCCAGTCACCCATTGGCACCATTCAAGATAAGTTCCTGGTCCCTATTCTGCTTGGCAACCTCATCTCCCACTAACTTATGGCTCGCGACCTGGAATTTCAGTGGCCTGGAATTTCAGTCATGCAATTTTAACCATCTCTACAGACAGCTTTTAGAAAAAAATATAACTTCAGAACTAGACAAGACACAACATGCCCAGTAAAGATCAGAGTAATTGAGCCTGGCAGGCTCCTTCAGATGAACAACCCAAGGACTTAGGAAGGATGCACAGCTCACCTAGGACAGCTGATGGTGAGTAGGAATGCCCCAAGGGATTTCAGATGAACAAAATGAAACATCATACCTTTCAAACCTGTATTATCCATAAATACATACTTAAATTTAAACATTTTAAGGGGTTTTTTTGAGTGATTAGTAAATCTGTGGCAGGAAGTCTCACAAGAATATCCAAATACAGAATTAAAAACATAATTTTACCCTGCTATTTGCTGCTATTGCCAGCAAAAATTATCCAACTTCTATTGAAATACATCACTATTATTTTACTCTGATCTTTACCTCTATTTGCAAAAAACTACTCAGAGGAAAATAGAGCAGTGGGAATGGTGCTACATGATAAAGGTCAAATGGTTATTTCTCTGTCCAAGCAGATTTCAAGGCAGAGGTCCATTCATTTCTCCCACACCAACCCCCCAAATCAGCCAACTCGAGTGAGTAAACTTTGGCTGCAATGGAAGTGCCCAGATCCCAAAGGTGCCAGGTGTGTCCCCAGTGCTACACAAGCCATGTGGAAGCAAAATGACAACTGACCACATCTGAGTGGCTGCTATGGACCTGGACTGGGAAAAGGTGGGATTGGGAACGCAGTGCTGCTCTCCTCAGGGACCAGAGCCCACTGCCATTGGGTGCTGGGTTTGATCCAGCATGGCAGGAAAAGACAAGGTGCCCGAATCTCTCACTTGGCAAAGGGGTCACTGCCACTGCTGGCAGTTTGGGGACTGAGGAAGCTGGGGGGAGGTCATTCAGGCAGCCCATATATCCCTCAGAATGGTTATCAGGGCATTCCCACACAGCAAGGAAAGGGGAAAAGAGAAGGGTTTAAAAGAAATTTTCAGAGCGAAGATAGTGAGATCCCAGGTTAAGCACTGAAATCATCCAGTTCTAATGAAAGGAGACACCAGTGAACTGCATAAAGGCAGGACTTGGCTCAGACACTGCTTACACTCTGAAAACCCTTGTTTAAGTTTCTGCTGTGACTGATTCAAACCAGGGATTTGAATTTCAGCCTCTCAATCCCGTAAGCAATATAATCCAGTTATCACTGCCTGGCAGGGACAGGACTCCTTTGCAGCTGTGCTACTTTTATAAATAAATGTTTACTGCAGGCAAGATACAAAGATAAGTCATGACTTATAGCCAGTGTATGACAGGCTACAAGGTTCAGTGTCCTTCCCACAAAGTTTTAATTTACTTGCATGAAGAACAGCTCCAGTTGCAGAGGTTGAGACCAAACCCCCAGAGAGTCCTGGAGCACAGCTTGCCTTTCTTTTTGTCAAGTCTTAATCAAAAAGGTATCTGGAAAAAAAAAATATCTAGAGGAAAAATCGCTAGCGAGCTTACATCCTTCACAAAATGCAAAGAGAGAGCTAGTTTACAGAGGGGCAATAT